TTTTTGTGTGTGGTTTGGGCGGGGGTCGTGGCGCCCCACGCCTGTGATCCCAGCACTTTGGAGGCTGAGCCAGGAGGATTGCCATGAGTTCAGGGCCAGCCTGGGTTACATGGCAAGAGTTGGTTCCAAAAAACCAACAAGCTAAAATCTGTTGTCTGCTTATTGTCTTAAGGATTTCTGAGATGGTGTTTTTTACATTCCAATGTTCATTATGTGTGGGGTAAAGAGAAATATGTGTAAAAGAGAATATATGTGTCTCTCTGTGTGTGATTTGTTCCTAAATAAAATCGGTCAGATTCACTGAATATTTATTGAATGCCTCCTGCATTGCCAAACACAAGGCTAAACAACCGAATGCATCATTTGTATTCCTTACAGCAATGTCTGAGGTGTTACTCAGTCCACTTCCAAGACTGGACTTCACATATTTCTTACTGCTTTCCCCATAGTGAATGGAAGACCCATGGGGGCAGAAACCTCCACTTTACTTCACTGCTATATGTCCAGCAACCACCACAGTACTCTGAACAGCCACTCAGCAAATGTTTGTCCTGTGAATGTGTGGGGTAATAATAATAGTTATCCTGCACTGAGCACTTATTCCGTACCAGGAACATATAGGTAGCTGTTATCATTCTCCCCAGCTGATAGACAAAGAGGGGTCAAATGACTTGCCCAAGTTCATACAGCTCGTAAGGCATGGAGCTTGGATTTGAACCTAAGTGTTCTAGCTCCAAAACTCATGCTTTTAACTGATATGTAATAGAGACTCAGTAAAACTATATTAGATGATAACCCCAAAGAAAAGTAAGACAAAAATCAAACTAAAAAGTATTTTAAAAGTTTAATAACTTGCCCCCACAACAATTACTGCAATGCTTTTTCTTTTCAAAATATCAAAGTCCACTGTCTCTCAAAAAAAAAATATATATATATATCTTGTGCCTATGTTTTGGTAGTGCTCTTAAGCATGAGAATTGACTACAAACTTGCTTGAATCACCTTCCTGAAGAGCAAGAATATCCAAATACAAGGTGTCACCATCATGAGGATACTATCCCAGATATCACTCAACCCATAACATAGTTGTGGGAGGGAGAGCTCTGGTAAACAGCACCATCACTCCCTCCTTTCTCTGTTTGAAATTGGCTCAGCGAGACCCTTCAAGATCACCACACTTAGCAAGCAATGTGATGCCCAAAATGAGTATGAGTTCTGGGTTCAAATTCTAGCTCAACATGCTAAAATTTGTACTACTATGAATCTCAGTTCTTCCATCTGAAAAATGGAAGTAATAGCATCTATCTTGCTAGGTCTTCATTTTTTGGTTTTTTGAGACAGTGTCTCACTATGTAGTTGAGACTGACCTAGAACTTACTATGTAGCCCAGGCTGGTCTCAAATCACAGCAATCCTCCTGCCTCAGCCTCCCAAGTGCTGGGATTACAGGCATGCGCTACCACGCCCGGCCTTGCTAAGTCATTTTAAGGACTAAGCGAAATAAATTTTGCGAAGTGCTCACAGAGTCGTAAGGAGAGAGTTGTAGATGTCCAATGGATGTCAGTTATGTGTCCCACTGCACCAAGGCCATGTGACCAGGAGAGGGACAATGAGCGAGAGGCTGATTTTGAAGACACACATAATAGTGCCCAACTAAGCTATCAGATATCTGAAATCCAGGGTGGGAGACACCTTACCTTTCTGATGCCCCAAGTCTTATTGCCAACCTCTTCAGCGAACTCTTCATCATTTGTAACAAGGAAATTGTCAAAGATACTGCCAGATGTCACCTGAGAGGAGAACAATGAGATTGTTACTATTAATATTGGCTGTGTGGTTTCCTGTGCTCTCCCTTGGCTCGTGCAGTGCAAAGAGCGAAAAGGCGTGGGCACTTTTAACCATGGGACCTTGACAAATGACACCTCGGAGCCCTCATTTTTCTCACTAGCTGAATGGAGATGGGGACTTTCTAGGGAGCTCAGGTAGAGTGCTGTCCTAGCCTATGTGAGGCCCTGGGTCGGATCTTCAGGACTGAGGCGTGGGGGGAAATGAAGAGAGCAAGTGTTCCCCTCCTGGCCTCACAGGGCTGTGACACAGCCCGTTTGATGTAAGGAATGTCGATGTGCTTTGCATTACGGCCAGGTTACCTTGATTGCAATTCCTTCAAAGATTATAAAGAGTCCCAAAGGAGGAGAAGAATTTTCTTTGTTTTCTGTTATCTCCTCCCAACCTCTGTTCTGAAGAAGCAATGCAATGACTTCCACCTGAGGGGGAAAAGTAGCTACTGTGTTGGGAACAGGGAACAAGAGGAGTCAAAACAAGAGGGGCAGAAATGTCAAACAGCTTACTAGGTGGGTGGAGGGGAACAGGGAGGGTAACTGGGCTCTCAGAGCTGGAAATCAGGGGCTGAAGAGGGGCAGAAAAACGGAAAATTCACCATCTCCGTGCTTACAGTCACCTGGCTTTTCCAATGAAGTGCAAAGGCCGGATAGTAAATCGGATGGTGAACTGGATGATAAATGGGTTGGCTGAGTGGGGAGGGTGAAGTAGGCCCTGTGAATGCCAGGCCCACCTAGAAGTGAAAAGCGAAGATCGCCTTCACAAGTGCTCCAGAATCCTGCAGAAATGTGCCACACACACAAACAGGAGAAAGAGATAATGCTAGAGTTTTAGAAATACAGTCGCAGGACTCCTCCCAGATCAGAATCTGCATTTTAGTATGACTTCAGCCACCCCTGTGACTTACCTGTGTGCAAAGGTTTGAAAAATACTCCTCTGGCATGGTTTAGAATCTTCAAATAGAAAAGTTTGCGTACCCAGACAGGTTGAGAGAATCCAGAGCAATTAGTGCACATAATTTTTAATTGTGTAGGTGAACTGATATAGTTCAAAACCTATACCTTAATGTTTTCCATGAAAAAAAAAAGCATTTTAAGGACCCAATATGATTAGGCATAGTAATGTGATCACACATTTATAAGATATAGAAAATTTTTGTTGTGCATTAAAAAAGTGACAACTGGCCAGCCATGGTGGCGCACGCCTGTAATCCCAGCACTTGGGAGACTGAGGCAGGGGGATTGCTGTGAGTTTGAGACCGGCCTGGGCTACATAGTGAGTTCCAGGTCAGTCTCAACTACATAGTGAGACCCTGTCTCAAAAAACAAAAAACAAAAACAAAAGAAAGAAAGACAACTGAGCCAGGTGTGGTGGCACTCACCTTTGACCCCAGAACTCTGTGAGTCTCAGCAGGAGCATCGAAAGTTCAAGCCAAGGGTCAGGATTTAGCTCAGTGGCACTGTGCCTACCTCACAAGTACAAGATCCTAAGTTCAGTCCCCAGTACTGGGGCAAAAGAAAAAGAAAAGAAAAGAAAGTTCAACCCAAGCCTGGATAACATAGTGACTTAGCAAGATCCTATTTTAAAATAAAAAAAATAAAAGGGGCAGGGGATTGAGCTCAGTGTGAAGACCCAGGGTTCAAGCTCCAGTGCCAGAAAAAAAGCCAAAAAAAGAAAAAGAGATAACAGCATGTACTTGTGCAAACTGTATCCACATTCCTCAGATAAGCCAGGAAGGAAAGAAAGATATACCTACATCCTCTCCTGCCTCCCTGATCTCCTGAGCCCTATCTAACACAGTAATTTACATTCATGACCTCCTTGCACTCCTATATTGGTCTCCTTGAACCAGGAAACTGAGAAAGCTGAGAAATGACTTTTTAAAAAACAAAGAAAGCCTCAAACAGGGGGCACCTGTCCGAGAGAACTTCGGTGGCTCTCGCCAGAATCAGAGAGCTCCAAGGCAAGGGAGCTGGCAGGATACGTGCAAGGACCAGTGGCTGTGGTTGTCACAGGCTTCCTTGTACTGTGGATATACTCATTATAGGAAGGGTGTCGGAGGCTGAGAGACCTGTGTTTGAATAGCCTGTCTCTACCACGCACTAGGTGTGTACTTATGGGCACATCACCAGACATTTCTGCGTCTCAATGGTCTCACGTGCAATAATAAGGGAAAATAATATTTACTTTCCAGAATTATAAGAATTAAGGGAGGTAATGAGGGTTAAGCACTGATCCCAGGCCAATGTCTACCAACAGAGTTCCCTTCATCTCCAGGGGAGTTTTTCTGGGACTAAATAGACTGCAGTCTATAGACCTCCTGGGAGGGATCAGAGGGCCACACTAGGTCTCAGGGAGAAAGAGATAGTAGGAAGAATAGTATTCCAAAGGGCTGAATATCCAAGGCCTCCCCTTTCCCTTCTGGTCAGGGCCAAAGAAAGATGGCCGCCAGAGGGAAGAAAGCTAGGTCAGGGCCTACAGTCATGGCTGGGTCAATTACTCCCAACATCTGTGCAGGAATTTTAATGTTTCAGATGTTGTTACATTTCTGATTTCTGTTTATCCACATAACCACTCCCCCAAAATCACATAGAACCAGCAGAAGTATCTATAAACCCGGCTCTAGGTGCCAGAAAGAACTGTACACAGATCCTAGCTTTTCTGCTCACCTTACCAAATGTATAGCAAATTATTCAACTTTTCTGAGTCTCTTTTCCACAAGCAGAAATAGAAGATTTAAAGTGAAAATTAAATGTACCTGCAAAGTCTTTAACGTAGTGCTTGCTTCACGGTAGGGATGAAATATACTTTAGTTCTTACAATTATTGAGATGAATATAATTACCCCCATTTTAAAGTTAAGAAGTTTGGGGCTCAGAAAGATAAAGACTTAGTCAAGTCTGAGATTTCCAACCTGTAGCCCTTTCCACTTTGTGAGAACTACTAGGACTGTTAATCAATGACTCGCTGAGCCTGGAGGACCTTACCTGCCAAAGGTCCAAGCCGAGAACACTGATGTTATAATAGCGACAAAGAGTGGGGTCAGGTTTATATTCAGGGTTGTCTATTTCTGGATGAATCCATTCCCCCTGATAATTGGGATTGTCGATGATCCGAGGTTTCCATTGTCCCTAAGCAAAGAGCCAAAGAGGAGTCACGTCAATCACATTTTTCCATTCTCCTGATCTTAGGAAAATGTTTAAAGGCCAGCTAATTTATTAAGGTAATTGTCCATTAGACATAAGGATTCAGAGCAGGATTCCTGGAGCTTCTTTCTCTTTCTTTAGAGTTGCTGCACAAGAGTCTCCCAAGTTCCCCTTTCTTAAGGGAGGTAAATGACAGGGCAGGAACAATTCTGAGCCTGGCCCTGGCCTCATTTCTGCAGGAACTGATTAAAAAGAAAAAAAATGTAGCTTCTCAGACAATATCATCTACGTATCTTGGCATGTGGGACATTCTCTGCCTGGTATGCGGCAGAGGAAACTGGCCAAATAAAATGCTCATCTCAGTTGCCGGACTACTTTTCAACTGATTCCTTTACTTTTTTTCTTACTTTGTTTTTGAAGACAGGATCTCTGTTAAAATCCTCTCTCTCTCTCTTAAGATCTGGGCTTGAACTTGTAATCCTCCTGCCTCAGTCTCCCAGAGTACCTGCCATTACAAGTGTGCACACACGTCCCCACACCCAGTTAGTATTTCTTACTTCTGGCATAAGGTCAGGAGTTAGCTCTTACGAAGTCCCCCTCTCCCCTAAAAGCTTGGGTTCATGCATGGCCTTCCCCTTCCTCGGTGGCCCACTTCTGAGACTTCTAGCTCCTGATCTCCCACTCTTTTCCTATTTAGACCTTGTTCCTTGGACTGGCTGCTTTCCACTGCTCTAGACGAGCTTCTTCCCCAGAGCTGCCTGAACTTCTACAGCCTCTCAGCATTACTCTACCAGCCCACCTGATCCTAAGCAGGCATAGTCACACAGCTCAGATCAGGTCCCAGGCCTGTTTGTGATATGAAGGGAAGGGGAAAAGACCACAGAATCCTAGAATCATTTGCTTGTCTGTTTTTTAGAAATAGACTTGATATCACTTGTCTTGTTTCTCATACCCAATGGAACAAGAGACCCCTCACCTTATACTTCAGGTTTGGGATCAGAGGTCCTTCCCACTGTCCATCTATTGCCTCATTCCAGTCGTCCGGCTTCTTGGCATCTGGGTCTGGGATGAACTCAAAGTCCTCCCAATCCTAAAATTCATGAGGACAAATGTGTGGTCTGGGATGAAACTGGGGTTCCATATGCAGTCGGGGGAACTGGCTGTGGACCCTCTACCACCCTCCTGCCCATCCTTATGAGGGCCCAGGTCAGGACTTTCCAAAGAAACCCACTGCAGTAAGAAACAGCCTCTCAGCAACTCTTGCCCCATGTAGGTTCATCCCCAACTTTAAACTCAAATAAACTAGCAATTTCCCCTGTCTCTGACCTACCCCTTCCCACCTCATGTGTCCTGGTGTGGTTTGAATGCAGTTTGCTCCTGGTGAAATTTAATTGCCAGTGTACGCATAGGCGGAGGAATTGACATTCCTGAGACAGATTAGCAAGGCAAGGTTCTATCAGGACCTGGCACTCAGGGTAGAAGGCTAACTGCCTGTTACAGGAAACAGCCCCGCCCACCTAATCAGATTCTACATTCCTTTGGTCTAATCTGCAGAGGGCACAGAGTCTCGCAGCCTCCCTACCCCAGGCCTTGAACCAACCCTAAAGTTCATGGTCCTCACCAGGAGGGAGGATCTATGGTTAGTCTTGCTGTCCTGAGCCTCCCTGTGGGCCTGGCAGGATCTTAGCCCTTTATTTCTCTATGGTGCTGAAGGCCTCAATAATCTGCTTTAATTCCTGGACTACACTTCCCACCCAGGTATTGGGGCCTTTGGCTGGATCTCTCCACATAAGGCTGGACCGCTACCTGCCACTCTGCAGGCCCATCTTTAGGACTGGATCCAGATGCTGGTTCCCATGTTGCCCTGCCTGACCCCAGTACCTCCTCTGTCCCAGGCTGACCCTGCTCCAACCTAGGGAGTAACGGCATGATAGGTGAGACCCTTATGGTTTGGTTCCAATAGACCTTGTCTAATCTCTTCTCTTGCTGTGCCTCATCTTGAAATTTACCCTCCAAAAATATTGAACCGTTGCTTTATACAGCCATGTTATTTTCCACAAGCCATTGTGTCTTTGCTTTGGCTATTAACTAGACCTAAAATATTTTCCTTTCAACCTAGTTTCCATTTTTCTTGCTGTGATAAATATTTTATTTTAAACTTGATAAATTATTAACATCTACATGTCATGTATTAAGAACTTACTGTAAACCAGACACTATATTATATATATATATATTGATACCTATGATTGCATTTTGGTTGCAGCCACAATCATGGAAAGAATTAAGCTTGTAAACTGAAGTACCCCTATATTTATACTAGCTCACTTAAAGTTCACAACCTTCCTACATAGGTATTATAATAATCCCTGTTTGTAAAAATTTCCCAACTCTTAGGTTAATCCAATCACTTAAGCATAGTTTTTTTTTTCCAGCATCAGCACCTAAAACTCACCTCAGTTTGGGTTTGGGCTCCCACGGGTTTTGATTTCCCTGGCTTTCAGCATGATCACAGTGTCATCTTTGTCTTCTCATCTGCCTCCCCCATTACACTCTGAGTCCCTGGCGGGCAAAGATTGCCCTACTCATAACTATATCCAGAACAGTTCCCTAGGGTGAAAATGATATACACCGAATACTCGCCGTATCAGTAACTGTAGAGCCAAAGAGCAAGTTCAGATCTTGGTTCTTGTGTGTGTGTGCTCGGGCCAGTCACTTTACTTTCTAAGCGTTTAAGTTTCCTTTTCCTTATCCATGAAAGAGGAGTCCCAACACACTGCTCACAGAGGTCATCAGAAGGCTCAGTAGATCCTCAATGGAGGTAAATTGCTGCTCTCTTCCCCCAAGTCTGTTCGAATACCAGTATTTATCACGCCATCGCTTTGAGTGATTCTTTCCCTGAGTCACTACTTACTGTTTCTAGCCTCCTCCTTTTAACCTTAGAGCTGAGATCCCACCTGATTCCTAGCCACCCACCTCGGGTTTCTTATCTTCAGGATCCTCTATTTGCAGACGTTCGTCCCATTTCCTTGGTTTCCGGGCATAGGGGTCTTTTATTTTCCGGGGAGGCAAGAAGTCCCAGTCATCCTCCAGTTCCCCAGCTGTCACTTGCTCATTGTCAATTTTGACCACATAAGTAGCATTGGGGTGAATGATCAAAGTGTATAGGTGAGTATCTTTATTGATCTATAAAGGAAATGGGGCAGATATTTCAGTTCTGTGTGGAATATTGTAGATCAAGCATTATCCAGAACACATATTCAAATACATTTTTAACACATCCTCCCTCCCCTTTCTCTGGTTCATCCTATAGGGATCCTGGGGCTCAGTCTCCTAAAACTCATTCCTGTGGTATCCCCTAACTTTCAATCTCCCCCACCTCCTCCCCAGCTCTGATCACTCTCTGCTCTTGTCATTTTTTCTCACTGTCCCACTAGAGGTCGAGCATCTCAACAGCAGTTGCCTTATAGGATTCCTTTGTTATGGCCGTAGCTTCCAATGCGAGGCCTGTCCCCGAGGAGGACCTTAGGGGGCCCCTGCACACACAATCCCCGGACCGATCTGTTCAGAAAGGCCCTGAACCCAAGCACAAGTCCTCCAATGATCCAGGTTCTATGGGTTTCTCTAGACTTAGTTCCCACTCTTCTCTGTGTCCTATGTGCCATCCTCTCACAATGCCACTCTGTCTCTCTCTCAAGACTCCTTCACTTTTCTCATGAATTTACCTCTTAAAAGAATTTAATTCTCTGTGAAATTGTCACATCCTTCCTAAGACCAAGTCATGCTCATCTTTCAAAACTCAACACAGGGGCAACATTCTCCAAAAATCATGGCCTAAGCCTTCGGATTGGGTAAGGGGCATTCCTCCGTACTCTCACAGATCCTGCTTACGGAGTCACTTTCCTTTGCCTGACTTTTGCCTTCCCTTGACTGTGAGTTCTGTTCATTCAGAGGCCACATTTGGCTTACTCTGTCTCTAGCCTAAGACCAGCATGCAGTTACCACTTGGTAATGCCTGTTGGATCCCTGGTGAAATCTACTGCTGTCTTCTAGCCAGTCTAGATGTCTCTGACCAGATGTGTGTGTTTTGTTTTGTTTTTTAGGTAGGATTTTTAAAAAATCTTATTAAGTTTATTGGTACTTTTTAAGTATACAGTACAGTTACATTTTGAGATAGGATTTTGCTATTAATTCAGGCTGGCCTTGAACTCACTAAGCATCCCAGGCTGGCCTCAAATACACAGTGATCCTCTGCTTAGTCTCCCAAATGCTGGGATTACAGGTGTGTGCCACCATGCTTGGCCTTAACTTGTTATGGAGATAAACCAACCCCATATTTCTAAACCCAGCTCTCCCCACTTCCTCCATCCCCTCCAATGTCTAACGGGAGGGAAATGAGCTATGCCAAACATTAAGAACTTTATACGACTTCTTTGACTTTCAGATCAACTGCTCTGTAAACTCCTACAACTTACAGCATTTCCCTAGGTCTACTTTCTAACCTGCACAACTGAGATGATAATGTTTACTTGGTAAGGTTTTTATAAGAATTTAATAAGGGCCAGGGATTTAGCTGCCGCCTGCCTTGCAAGCTCAAGGTCCCGAATTTGATCCCTGGTACCAAACAAACAAACAAACAAAAAAGAATTAAATGAAATAACATATGTAAAATGTTTATTCTTCCCCCCCATGCCAAGAACCAGCCCACATACTCACCCTGCACTTGATGGTCTTGTTGTTTGCATGGTATTTCCCTTGGTACTGAAGGATGACCTGCACGATGTTATTGCCAAAGCCACAGATGTCAGGGCCTGGAAATTAAACCCCAGAGCATGATTTCACAACAATTTCGGGCAGTTTGCCAAGTCTGAGGCCAAGGCTCAAGACATACACGGCCTGTGTATTAATCAAGGTTCCCAGCAAGATATAATTCAAAGTTAAGATTATTTGAGATGGATTTAATAAAAGGATTATTTACAAGGGCCAAGGCAAGACATAGAGAAGATAAAAGGCAACATGCTGTGCTCAGGATTAGCAACGGGGGGGGGGGGGGGGGGGAGGGGGGGTAGTGCCCCTCAGAGCATGGAGTGAGGAGGAGGAGCAACGTTACCAGAGCCAGGAAGAAAGACTCCTTTGGGGAGGGCAGCAGGAGAGAAGTGGATTTTAAGAATGTAATCTTTTTTTTTCTGTACCAGGGATCGAACTCTGGACCTTGCGATTGCAAGGCAGGCAACAGAACCACTGAGCTAAATCTCCAGCATTGGAAGTAGACTTTTAGTTCAGTAAATACAACTCTAATCTCTCCCTCTGGTCTCCCGCCAGGGCTCCCATCGGCCAAACTCCTTCTGTGACAGGAGTTTTATTCCGTGTCATTTAATTGGTACTAGCTTCACTTTTAGCTCGGAAAACTGTGGCTCAGAAAAATTAAGCAGGGCGGGGGTGGTTTAGCTCAGTGGTTCTGCCGCCTGCCTGGCAAGTACAAGGACCGGAGTTAGATCAAAAAAAAAAAAAAGAAAGAAAGAAAGAAAGAAAGAAAAAGAAAAAGAAAAAGAAAAAGAAAAAGAAAAAGAAAAGTTAAGCAGCTTGTCCAAATCAAACAGCAAATAAGAAGCATTGCTGGGATTCAAACCCCTGCCTACCTAGTCCCTGAGCCAGAGGCCCTTTTTGATTTGTGAAAACTCTAGGGGGAGCTGTTGATCAGACCCTCTGACCTTAGAGGGCTTTCGCTGTCAAGAACCAGGAATGGGCTTTATTCTAAATTTCAACTTCATCTTCCCTGTTATTCTTGCTGACTTTTCAACACACGCATGCGCACGCACACTGGTCTTCTTACCACTTCTCTGCTTGCATTTGAATCTCATGGCTCTGACTTTTGCACACTCTGCTTCCTTTGCCCTCATCCCATCCTCTGCCTCATCCCCCCTATTAAAACCAAACTCATTCTTCAAAGAGGAATTAATACCTCCTCCAAAAAGCCAGCAGTTGAACTGAATCATGGCATCTTTAGTGCTCTCATAACACTTCTTCAACACCTCTTTCATTCTGCCTTTTTAAAAAGTATTTGATTTTTCTGAGGGCAGAAGAATGGAGTGGAAAAAACACAGGCTTTTAAAGTAGAGAGATTGAGTTCAAATTCTGGCTTCCCACTTATTCACCTTGGGTAAATATCTTCCCTCCGTTTCTTTACCTGTGAAGTGGAGATGATAACAGCCCAATCTTGTTGGGTTGTTTGAGCATCAAATAAATAATACTTAAAAGGAAAAAAAAAATCACAATTGTCTTATTTCTAATTTCCCTATGGACACTGCTTGTGAGAATGGTGGATTCTTTTTTGTTTTGTTTTGTTTTTGGTACTGGGGATTCAACTCGGGACCTTGCACTCACGAAGCAGGTGACAGCACCACTAAGCTAAATCCCAGGCCCAGAAGGTTGTATTCTTTGCTGAACGACTCTGCACAAGGAGACTGAGCCAGGCAAGATAGTTCCACCTGTAATCCCAAGTAGCACATAGGCTGAGACGAAGAAGAAGGCCTGGGCAACTTAGTAGGGTACTATCTCAAAAAAAAAAAAGGCTAGGGATGTTGCTCAGTTCTTGACTCTGACGTAAAAGGCCCTGGAGTCCAACCTAAGAGACAGAGGCTGGGGGGAGGGGGGAGAAAATAAAAGAAGAGGAGGAGGAAGGGGAAGAGGGGAGAGAAGGGGGTAGGAGGGAAGAGGAGGACAGGAGGGAAAGCAGAGGAAGAGGAAGAAGCAGAGAAAGAGGAAGAGGAAAGATTGAAAGATAAAAAATCAGAGAGCCAGGAAGGGGGAAGGTTGCAGACAGAAAAATGGAAAAGAGGCTGAAGAAAAGGGTTTGGGTTATCTGATGCTTCCTGGGAAAAGAAAGAAGTGATTAAGAGACTTTTAAGGAAATGTTGCTGTGTGATGTCCAGTGTGGCCTTCCTTTGACTTTTTATAAAAGCATTCAGATGCTTGATGAAGGTCATTTCCCTGACCTGTGCCCTTTTCTCCCTGAGATAGAGCCTTGAACTCCTGTTGATTTTTCTACCTTAGCCTCCCCAGCGCTGGGTTTACAAGTGTGTGTGACCACACCCAGCTTTGGTCTACTTATATTAATGTTTAGGTTTAGAGTTTTGTTTTAGGTCTTTGAAGAGTTCTATCACATAGGAGTTATGGAGATATCACGTTAGAAATTCTCTGTTTCGAATAGATCTAAATCTTTTTAACAGCTGCCGTCCCTCTTACCAAGACCTTGCAGCGCTGCCAGCAACAGGTATTAGAGCTCTTACCAAACATGATGTAATACTCGGATTCCGAATGCATGTCTTCCTGGTTTAGCGTGGCAGGAAAGAGTTTCACATATCCGCCACCACAGTCGATGCCCTGTTCGTGTTTGACTGAAAACTGAACCACCAAGGTCTCATTCTCATTGCTGAATGGCTTAAACCTGGTAGAAAGGGCATAAAACTTGGCGTCTTCCGTGGTCTGGAGACCTGGAAGCAGTGAGCACAGACCTCAGGGTTAAATAACCAAAACACAGCCAACTATTCCCAGCTGACCAATCCCTGGCATTTTCCCTACACACCTGCTGTGTGCCAGGTGCGGCGTTGGAGGCGTTACAATCGTTGTCCCATTCAAGCCTCAGAGCAGCCCTGCAGAAGGGGAATTCTCCTCATTTGTGCAGGAGGAGCCCGAGTGGTGGTGGGGAGGTAAAGGGACCACACAGCTAGGAAGGAGCAAGCCGTGTCTGTCTGATGCTTTCTTTTCCCTGTACTTAGGCTATCTCTGATTTTCAAGAAATATTGAACATCATTCTGCAGCAGCTTTACAAAGAATACCTCATTTGCGGGGGAGGCCAGAATGGGGCTTTGCCATGAACAAGTGCTGTGATAGAAAGAGGCCCAACGCTGACTTTTAGATCAAACAGTAATCATTGCTGTCATTTACCGACTCTTCCGTCGTAACCCGACAGTGCATTCATTCACATGTGTTACTTAATCTTCACGATACCTCTGCCAGGTGCGATCTGCTGATGTTTTCACTTTGTCACAGGGTCCTTGAGGCTATCTGACTTGTCCAAGATCAATCATCCAACCAGTTCTAAACCCAGAGCCCCCAGTTCAATCATAAATCTCCACTTCCTCCTCCTCCTCCAGCGAATGTCAGGGCTGTCAGAGATCTCGACGAAGCTTTCTAGTCTAATTTCATTACTCTGTAGACGAGAAAACCATGCCCAGAGGGGGAACAGTGCCTACTTAAGATCACACAGTCTCAAGTGACAGACTGACAAGCCAGTCTCCCAGGTCAGCTGTGGTTCTATTACACCGAGCTGCTGCCCAATTAACAGGTTATGGCTCTCATGGACCTTGTGACTCTCGGTCTGGTTTCCTCACTCAGGAGATGTGCAAAATTATTTCTTTCTCCCCAGGCCCTCGGTGAAGGTAATGATGAAGAGCTGTGAGTATACTTTGCAAATGGACAAGTGAAACATAGGGGCTGTCATCATCCACACTGCTGGCTCCCGCAGACCTCTTGTGCCTGGGTCAGTTGGGTGAAATGTGGTTTATTTCAGTCTCTTTGAATAATCTTTAAAATCCTGCAGAACAGTGACACATCTGTATCCCCAACATCAAGGACAAAGCCTAGCCATAAAGGATATGTTCAAGAAATATATATCAAATTACACAAAGGATCACAGGGCCTGATTCAGACAAGACTTCTGTGTGTTTTCATTTCAGGGGAGAATCTCACTGCGTAGCCCAGGCTGGTCTCAAAGTTGTGGTGAGTCTCCTGCCTCAGTCTCCCAAGTGCTGAGATTAGGCATGGGCCACCATGCCTAGCCAGGCAAGGTCTCTTAAGCATTTCGTGCACACCAAGCTCCTCCGTGGAAAGCATTTTCATGCCTGCCATGGTATTAGGAGCTGTCTGCATTTTAAAGAATGTGCTCATTTCCCCAGAGTTCTCGAGGCAGGCTAGAGGAGCCAAGGAAGACTTCCTGGAGGAGGACTGGGCTCAAACAAAGAAGAGCAAACTCTGAGGCCTGCTCTGTCCCCTTCTCTGGCATGTACCCCTAGGGCCTTCCAAACAGCCAGAGAGAACGCAATGAACCCCAGTACTTGAGATATGAGAGGAGACAGCCAAGAAGTCACAGGGAGGGGAGAGGAGTAGCCGCTTGAACTGTCCTCACTGGAGTCAGCCAGGCAGAGGCGTCCGCATGCTCACTCCTCTGGAAACGGTTTTCCAGAGTAGATTCAAATGAGATTTAAAATGCTCAAGGTGGCTCATGAGTCTTTCATTTCATAAACATGAAAATGAGATTCATAACAGTAGGCAGGAGGGAGAACATGGGAAATCGCTCCCGAGGATGATCAGTGGTTTCTATTTATAGGATAAAAGCTTTCTCAGACCCAAACCCCAGGCCTGCAGCCCTTGTCCTCAAAGCTCACCCTTCTTCCACAATTGCTATTTGGCTCACGTGACAGCCCAGTGTAAGGAGCCTGGCAGGCGCTGGTTATTATTTCCATCTAACATTAAGGCTCAGAGAAGTAAAAAGGCCTGCCCTTTTTATACAGCTGGTGGGTCCTGGGAGTTAACCTTAGGTCTGTCTGCTCCACTCTCAGGAGCAGCACTTGGGCCTTACACAGTGCTTTCTCCTGTTTCAAGTGCACAGTGCTATTTAAAAAATCTTTGGGGCTTGCAGAAAGCAGCATAATCTGGTAGTGATGAAAAACCATCCCCAGAGACCTAAACTCTGCTCCACCTCTTGACAGCTGTGCATTTAGCCTTGGGTGAAGGACTCAACCTCTTTGAGTCTCTGCAAAACTGGGAAAATAGGGCTGGGGATTTAGCTCAGTGGCACCGTGCCTGCCTTGCAAGATCCTAAATTCAATCTCTGGTACCATTAAAGCAAACAAACAAACAAACAAACAAAAAACCTGGAAAATAATAGTAATTGCTTCATGAAATAGTCAGGAAGATGACTGGGAATATGTGTAAGAACTTAGTTTTGTTGTTGTTGTTGTTGTTTGAGACATAGTGAGGGTCTCACTATGTAGTTGAAATTGACCTGGAACTCTGTAGCCCAGGTTGGTCTCAAACTCACAGAGATCCTCCTGCCTCAGCTTCCCGAGTGCTGGGATTACAGGTATGCACCACTACACCAGGCAAAACTTAGTTTTTAAATGGCTATTCCTCGATGAATGGACATTATTTTTGCAGGGAGTTCATTCTTTTCCATCGACAATTTTTTAAGTATAAGGAACAAATTAGTGATCATGGATAACAGCAATTATGCAAAAGTTAGAATTCCCCCCAATTGTAGATCCCTAAATTCCAGTATTTACCTTTATCCTTCTCTATGTGTCCATAAAATCTTCCTGCAGTGAGCTGAAATTTACCATAATCCGGCTGATGTTTAGATTGCACCCATCGTTTTTTCCATGCATCTACAGAGTAAAGGGCGGGAGAACAACGTAAAAGTTATTTGTGTTTTTCTGAAGACAATAAAATGTAGCCAGTGCCAGCCAAGCCTTATGGGAATGGTAAGAGTATAACAGAGGAAGACTGTAATCCCTCTACTGTCTGACACCTGGACCCCACTCTCTGTGCTCAAACACTAAATAGTTCAGCCACTTAGACATTATGCTCTACCCACCTTCTTTCGTAATAGTTAAGGCTGGAAGTCTATCATGGGACTAAAGCATTGAAGGTCACGAGAAACATTTAATTCTCATCAAAGTAGATGGAAGATGTACTTAGGGGGGACTAAGCCCTCAGGCATATTTATGTTTAGGAAAATAAAATCAGCTCACCAAGTAAAGAGACTAGTGACAGTATTCTATTCTCCTTGAATTAGTAATGATGATTACGAACAATTTCCAGTTAACTTTTTTTTTTTTGCTTATAGTTTTTAGACTCTCCCTTGCAGTTTCAAGGAGATGCTGATAAATGTGTTCTGTTTTGGCATAGATGGCATGCAGACAAAGAGCAATTCTTTTGGGAACCTGGCACGCCATCCAAACATTCAGATCTTTTCTGATTTTCTGCTTCAGAATTGCTGACTCCTGCTTCCTGGGCCCCACGGTCCCAGAGTCACAGAGCAGGCTGAGATGGAAGAGGCCTTCTGGTTGCCTTTATGTCATCTCCCCCACTGCAGCCGAACAGATATTTCTCAGATCCCACTCCCCGGGGTCTAGCTCTAACCTTTGAAAGCCCCATATCGACACACATGCAATAGGGCCGCTGAGCTGGCTCCGTCAGATGACTCCACCAGCTTCTCTGATAAACCCAGGGAACTCGCTGCTTTGGAAGGAGTTAAGAATGTGCCACCCCAAATATGCTGCTCTGATAGGTTGACTATTTCTAATTAAAGGCACTTTAAAAAACTGTAGGTACAAGAGGATCACTCTGACCTTCATTCTGTTTCTTTAAAGGAGGAATGTGTACATGCCTATAATTCCAGCAATCCTGAAGAGTGAGGAGGGAAGACCACTGTGCATTCGAGGTCATCCTGGGCTACATAGTGAGTTCAAAGCCAACCTGACCTACGTAGCAAGACCCTGTCTCAACTCTCCGACATAGGTAGGCAGGTACACACACACATACACACACACACACACACACACACACACACACACAAAACCAAGTTCAAGCTCAGCCTGAGCAACTTAGCAACAAAGTGAGAACTTATATCAAAATTTTAAAAGGGGGGTGTGGGGTGGATGGAAATGAAGCTCAGTTAAAAGACCCTAGGTTCAATCCCCAGGACTACAAAAAATAAAAAAGCATGAATGAATTTTCTATGTGAAAAACTGTCCTCCTAGTATAAAAAGGAAAGTAACCTTATTATCAAGGACAGGAAGTTGAAGCTGCATAAACAAAGCTTGTTATTAATCTTTATCTTTCCAGTCCTTTCTCCACCCAATCCCAAGTCCCTTTGCATTATCACATTTCAAAACTTAACCATTATTTATCCAATTCAGTTGTGTAAGTAATTCTAACTGATTTTTTGGATCGTCATTTCCTTTTTAGGCTCTCAGGCCACATAAAACACGTATTTAAAAAAAATGTATTAAAGAAATCTGAGGCCGGGGATTTAGCTCAGTGGTTCTGGCACCTGCCTTGCAAGTGAAAGAGCCTGAATTTGATCATTGGTACCAAAAAAAAAAAAAAAAAAAAAAAAAAAAAAAAAAAAAAAAAAAAAAAAAAAAAAAGAAGAAAAAGAAAAAAGAAAGAAATATGTACACTTTTCTCCTGTTAAACTGTCTTTGTATTTAATTTAATTTTCAGACCCAGAAAAAAATACTAAAAGAGGGGTATAGCTCAATGGTAGAGCATTTGCCTAGCACATGTAAGGCCCTGAGTCCCATCCCCGGCATCACAATATAGAACAAAAATTTAAAAGGCACGAGAGGACATTTTTGCTCCCCAACACCTTCTGTTCGCTGTCTCTCTCAAGGTCTTTGCATTTGACAGGCCAGGATGACTTGGTGGGCATCTCTCACCCTCTTGAGGGTGGTCTCCAGGAGTTTCTTTCTGCCTATAGTTGTGGCTTAATGAAATGGATCCTACTTCCTTGACCATAGTTGACCCAATGAAGAATAGAGTCAAAAGATATGTTCCTATGTGATAGGCCCTCATGTGACTCCCGGAATAAGTGTACTTATTTACATCTGTGGAAAGTGTTATGAGATAGGTCTTATTAGTTCTATTTTGTACCTACTAAGTGGTGGAACTGAGATTTGCACCCAAGTTTGTCTGATTTCAAAATTATCTTTCCTCTGAGTGAAGAGCAAGGTACACGGAAAAGAATAATGTGGGAAAAAACAGGTATCATAACAATAGCCACTAAAATAACTTTTCTTAAAGAAAGAGTGGCATTTAAAACAAAAGAAATGTTTAGCAGACATATGTCAGGCATTGCGCTGACTGTGTTCCGTGCATTATGTTATTGCTTTCTCATAATAGCCCTGTGATGATGAATGTCTTATCTTTCCCCCCATTAAAAGATGAAACTCAATAAAAAGAAAAAGAATTGTAAAAAAAAAAAAGATGACAAAATTTAGCCTGGCGTGGTGGCACACACCTGTAATCCCAGCACTCCGGAGGCTGAGGCAGGAGAATTGCTGTGAGTTCGAGACCAGTCTGGGCTACATAGTGAGTTTCAGGTCAGTCTCAACTACATAGTGAGACCCCGTCTCAAAACAAACAAACAAACAAACAAACAAACAAAACAAAACCAAACCAAAACAAAACAAAAAAGATGACAAAACTGAAGCTTAGATTCTTGCTCAAAAACCCTGCTAATAAGTAAGTGGTCAAGCAGGCTTAAATTCAGATCTATGTAACACCCAAATCTGTACCTTTAACTCCATGTGACTTCCCATGTGTTCATGTGTGGGAAAAGCCACTCATGACTTTAAAAGTTGGCAACAACTTGTGGCACTTGTGGCTCTTTACAGTTCATAGTTAACAATTATTTGTATATAATTTCAGTAATGTCTGTCTTTCCCACCAGACTGGAAAATTCCATAACTATTCTGTGGATCATTGTATCCCACTATCTAGCACAGAATAAATCACCAAAGATAATTGTGGAGTGAATGAATACATAACCATGCCTTTTGCTTAAGCCATAAGCTTCTCAGTCTTACAAACAGAGTAAGATGTTCCTTTATTCACCCAGTTGACAAATGTTCATTGAGCCTAGCAAGCATGTAGAAATAATTGTACAATTTTGGGGGAGGGGGTTGAGACAGGGTCTCACTATGTAGTTGAGACTGACCTAGAATTCACTATGTAGCCCAGGCTGGTCTTGAACTCACAGCAATCCTCCTGCCTCAGCCTCCCCCCCGAATGCTGGGATTACAGGAGTGCGCCACCACACCCAGCTAATTGTACAAATTTGACCTGGGACTCTATAGAAGGAGAGGTTAAAACAGAATTCTTAACTTATTATTATTTTTTTAAAATTTATTTTGGTTTTTTGAGATAGGGTCTCACTATGTAGTTCAGACTGCTCTGGAACTCACACTATGTATCACAGGCTGGTCTCAAACTCACAGTGATCCTCCTGCCTCAGCCTTCCGAATGCTGGGATTACAGGCGTGGCTCCTTAGATTTTACTTAGTGGCCTTTGCCTGTTCCAGGGCTCTTCCAGGAGATCACATTACATTTAGTCATCGTATCTACGTAGCTCTTCTGGGCTATGACACTTTCTCAGATTTTGTTGTTTTTTTGAGGAGCACAGTTCAGGCATTCAGTAGAAGGTCCTTCAGTTAGGGTTTGTCTGATTTCACTACTGGTTGGAGAGGGAGTTTAGGTTTTGGGAAGGAAGACCACAGAGGTCTCCTCCTGTACTACTACTGTGATATCCTGGTTTGGTGCCTATCAGGTTTCTCCACGGCAAAGCTACACTTTGCCCCATCCTTTCCATACTATACTCTAAAAGAAAGTCAGTACCTGCAGTCCACAGTTAAGGGGTGGGGAGATATTCTCTGCCTTCTTTTATTTTATTATAATTATCAGTACATTGTGTAAATGATAGACTTAATTTTGACCTTTTCATACATGCATATATTTTGATTATATTTATCCTCTCTAACCTTATTTTGCCCACCCCTCTTTTTTTTTTTTGAGACAGGGTCGCACTATGTAATTCAGACTGGCCTTGAATTTGCAATGATCTTCCTGTCTCAGCTTCTGCGGTATTCTGCCTTTTTGAGGACAGGTTGTCCATGTAAATTACTTGGTATTCTCCTGTACAACATTTTTGTCTGTCCTCATTTTCTTATTTAAGCCATCATTTCTTTACATTAGTATCAACTCATGAATATTTATTTTAGACTTAGAGTTATAATTCAATACTACATTATTTATGCTGTTCAAATGTTGTTGGCCATTGGAAGCTCTATCACTTGGTTCCTGTGTCCCTTTGACATACTCCTGTTGTCTTGCTTTTTGAATACTTCTTACTTTAAACTGTAAAATGATCAAAGCCCATCTTGTATTTTCCCTTTCCCAGCCCTAGCGTCAGACATTCTTCTAAGGAAATCTATATTCTTTTAATGGAGAATAGCATTCTAAACCGTGATATGGGTGTTGGGTATCATTTATATTTTGTGTTTTCATTAGAGTATAACATTCATTCGGATTAGGGGACAAACCGTAAGCTTAGTGAATTTTCCCCGCTCTGGGTTGCAGATGGATTCCAGAATTCTTCACACACGCTAGGCAAACACTGTACCTCTGACCTATACCCCAGCCCCACTCTGTTAGTTAATCTTTTTCAGTACTAAAGGTTAAGCATGGGGTCTTCCAATGGATCTACTGCCCCAGTCCTTTTTAAAATTTCTTTTGAGACAGAGTTTTGCTGAGTCACTTAATTCCCAGGCTGGGCTCCAACTGCTAATTCTCCTGCTTTAGCCTCCCACCGCACTGTGATTATAAGTAGGTACCACAGTGTCTGGCTTTTATTTAAAAAAAACTGAACAACAACAACAACAAAAAAACCCAGAATCTTGCTATGCAGCCCAGGCTGGCCTCAAACTCATGGCGAAACTCCTGCCTCAGCCTCCCAAGTACTAGGAGCCCAGGTATGTGCCACTACATCCAGCTGGAATTTACATTTTAATTGGAGGATAAAATGACAAACTTTAAACAAGATACCATGTAAATATCCAATATAATATCAGGCAATAATGATTTTAAGGAGAAATGTAAGAGTGATAAGGTGCTATGGATAGGGTGGCTGGCCTCCATGCAGAAAGAACATCTGTTCAGGGCCACTGGACTACATAACAAGACCCTGTCTCAAAAAAAAAAAGAAAAAGAAAAAGGAAGAGGAAGTAAGGGAGTTGTTGATGCTTACTACATACGAGGCACTGTGCAATTTGGTTTCCATACCTCGTTTTGGTTTTTGTTTTTTTGGGGGTAGGGGCTTTATTTTAGACTTAGAGTTATAATTCAATACTACATTATTTTATAGTTTATTTTTTTAAAAACTGTACCACACTGGTCATGAAAACCAGCATACACATGATAATGGCTTTTCTCTTGGACATTAACATAGCGGTATTTTCCATACCTCACTTTGTTCAGGCCTCACAGTACCCTGTGAGAAGTTAGGATAATCGCCTCCATTTCGTGGAAACCCAGACAGGGAAGTGCATGACCCGAGGCTGCTCCCTGGCAGAGTCAGGACTTGAAGTCTCACCTGCCGGCTCGGGGGCCTCACTCCGGCCTCCCTGTCTCTGTGACCCCAGAGAGATCCTTGCCATCCGCTTGTACTTGAGACCTGGCAAGCCCAGCCGGACCAGGCCTCTCTGGTCTGGGCGTCCGTCCAGGGCGATTCTTCCCCTGGCTCAGCCTGTCCAAGTCTCCTGGAGTCGCAGATGGTCTCAATGGCTTAGCAGTGGGAGGCCGAGCAGCAGGGTGTCCCTCTTCCCTGCCGGGCTGTCCTCCGCATGTCCACGCCAGCTGGGCACAGAGGCCCTTTGTCTCTGAAAGTCTCTTCAGCCAAGTTTTCATCGTCAAGTCTTGGAGCTAGTAGAATTAACATTCACACACACACACACACACACACACACACTCGCGTGCCTTGTGGTTCCTGTATCTCTCGACCTCATCTGAATTCCTGTTTCTTTCTGCCTGATTTTGTGCTGTCACAATGGTCACTGCTTCCACCATGCATCTTCCCCTCTTATCTATTTCTATTACAAATTGGATGATTTTCCAGTTCCATTGACCAACATTCCTACCTGCTTTAATGTGCCAGTCCCTAAGCCAATAATAAAAAGGGCTAGGAATGTAGCCCAGTACAAAGGCCTGAGTTCAATCCACAGTCCCACTACTAAAAAAAAAAAAAAAAAAAAAGCCTGCAATAGTAGCCACTTGGGAGACTGAGGCAGGAGGATCACTCTGGGCAACTTAGTCAAACCTAAAGCTCTAGTCATTCCTGTGGCATGGTGTTGTTGCCTGCTGGCCACCTGACACTTGGTGATTGCAGCAGTGGCCAATGAATGGGTCCTTACAAAGGTATGAGACCAGTAGTCCACAGCAGCAGACATCTCTGCTACTAACCCATTGTGCGACTTTGGGGAAATCAGCCTTGCTCTGTAGGACTCAGTTCCCCTATCTGCACAGAGGGTTGTAGTCTAAGGGCCTAACATACCCTCTTCTTGTAGTGCTACTCTGTAGACTGGAGTCTTCTGGAAAAACAACAGAAGAAAGGAGCCTGAGCTGGGTGTGATGGCACATGCCTGTAAACTCAGCACTCTGGGAAGCTGAGGCAGGAGGATTGTAAAATCAAGCCCAGCCAGGGCAATATAACCACTTAAGGAGACATTGCCTCAAAACAATGATAAAAAGAGCCAGGGATATAGTTCAGCGCAAAGGCCTGAGTTCAGTCCACAGTAGCATCCCCTCAAAAAAAACCAATATGCCTACAGTAGTAACCACTTGGGAGGCTGAGGCAACAGGATCAACCTGGGAAACTTAGTGAAATCCTGTTTCAGTGATTAAAAATATGGCTGGCAATGTAGCTTAGTGGTAGAGTGCATGCCTAGCCTACACAAAGGCCCTGGGTTCAATCCCCAGCACCATACACACATTCACAAAGTCTCTGATCTAAACTCCTTCAATGATCTTGGCATTGTGTGTCCCCTCTCTGGTCCTTAACTTTCTTATCTGTACATGGGGAATAGGAGGGCATTTTGGGTGAGATGTGCTCTCTGGTCTCTTTCAGTTTTGATATTCAGAGAAATCTAGGATTTACCTTCCTAAAGGTTGCCAAGCAGCTGGGCATGGTGGTACTTGATGGCATATTCCTGTAATCCCAGCTACTAGGGAGGATGAGGCAGGAGGGTCTCACATTTGAGGCCATCCTGGGCAACTTAGTGAGACGCTATCTCAAAAAAAAAAAAAAAAAAAATTAAAGGCCTAGGGCTGTAGCTCGGGGTAGAGTTCTTGCCTACCATGCATGAGGCTCTAGGTTCCCAAGCACTTAAAATGTGTGCTAGAGACCTTCAGCTTACTGAACTCATGGGAGGCAAAGGGGTGGGGAGGAAGAGCAATGCAAGAAAAATCAGTTTTGATACCACACAGTTCGGGATCCAACTCTTGGCTTTGGCATTTAATTGCTCTGTGACCTCAGACAATTTATTCAACTTCTCTGGGTTACAGAGTTACTCTCTGTAGATTGGGAAAATTAATAACTACTCTTCAGAGTTCGGTGAGGATTGGAGTATGGGCATCAGGCATGGTTTATCTGTGAAAAATAGAGTTCAAACGCTGGAGATTCACCTCCAAGAAGAAAGGGAAGGACAGAACTATTGTCTTAATTTTACATTTTTTTATTAAAAGACTAACACAGATTCACTGTAGAAAAAAACTGCTAAATCAACCAAAATCCCACTATTTACCATTTGCATTTTGGTATATTTTCTTTTGTGTGTGTGTTTTTTGTTGTTGTTGTTTTGGTACTGGGATTGAACTCAGGACCTTGTACTTGCAAGGCAGGCAGCGGAACCCCTGAGCTAAATACCCAGCCCTGGTATATTTTCTCCTATTACTTTTTCTATGTACAGATATACTTTAGAAAGTGACAATATATAATTTTGTATATTTTATATCTATCTATAGACCATAAACATTTCCAGCCAGAGGTTTAGCTCAGTGTTACCATGCCTGCCTTCTAAGTGCAAGGTCCTGAGTTCAATCTCCGACACTGTGAAAAAAAAATCTCCCCGTGACATTAAAGACTTGTCAAACAAGCCAGGCATGGTGACACACGCCTGTGATCCCAGCACTCTGGGAAGCTGAGGCAAGAGGATTGCTGACAGTTTGAGGCCAGCTTGGGCTACATAGCAAGACCCTGTCTCAAAAAATAAAACAAAATAAAAAACCAAATTTCCCACGCAGTCCACAAATGTATCTTACTTTGTTTTCCTTAACTGGGCTCTCATTGTTGGGTCCCTGGGTTTGTCTCCAAATGTTTCCGGATGTAAATAATGCTTACATTATTCATACGGCATATGCATAAAGTCGTGTTCACATTTCTGATTATTTCCCTAGGGACAAAAATGATTTGTAGGAGTGAAACTGCCTAGGAAAATGAAATGCATAATGGAGGGCTGTTGGTCAGTATGACTCAGAATCCCACCCACAGGACAGCTGCCAGGTCCTGATGGAAGTCGAAGAGACTAACAGTGCCTTGGCCCCGTCCTGCACTGGGGCCCTCTGGGGCAGCTGGTTCCAGAGCTGGGGCCAGCAGCTCTCGAAGCTTGCGGGTCCTCAGGGACTACGGTACCTGAGCGATGGTCCCACTCTCACTCACGCTTTACCTTCCCTGTTCTGACTGCCACTCCCAGTCACGCCTGCCACTGGCTGCACACGGCACCTGGCTCCTGGTCTTCCTCTTCACGCAAGTCCATCCTCACAAGGCAATTTCACGGTCTGCAGGGCACCCTGGCTTCTCCATCTCTGCATCTCTGGAGACCTCCACACCACTCCGGTTTAGCCATCTGCTTCCTGCATTCGTACCCTGGGGTCCCTCACCTTCCACAAACTGCTCTGAGATCTCAAACTCACTGATCCTCTCCCTGACCCACACTCCCTCTCCAATTCTCCCACTCTGTTACTGGAAATACAACCATTCTTTGTCACCCACCACCACCACCACCCTGTTTCTTTTCTGCTAACTCGCTTTAATCTGTCTACCTCTTATAATCCTACCTTCCTCCTTACCATGGCTTTTTTTTTTATCTGCAGGGGCTAGGAGGTGGAGCAAGACATTGAACTCAGGATATGCTGAGCAAACACTACCACTGAGCTATACTTCCAGCCCTATTGATTTATTTATGTTTATTTTTGGGCTCAAGAGTGCTCTGTTGGGCTGGGGATATAGCTCAACGTCACCACACATGCCTCAAAGCAGAAACCTGAGTAATGAGAAGGAGCAAATTATATGAAGATCTAAGAGAAGATTCTGGCCAGGAGTCACAGCAAGCGCAAAGGCCCTGAGATGGAACTGAGCTGGCAGCATCTGAGAAACAGAAAGCCACGGTGGCTGGAATGTGATAAGCAAGAGACAAAAGTTAGAGGTAGGACAGGTCACACAGATTCTTATAGGTCATAGTAGGAAGGATGCATTTTATTTTATATCTGATAGGAAGGCACTGGAGATTTTTAAGTTCCAAAAGGATTGTGAGATGTCAAAAGGATCATTCTGAATTTTCTATCAGAAGAGACCAAGGGAAGAAGTCACAGTGGAGAGGCCATTCAATTAAGTGCAATATTCCACTTGAGACCATAGTGGCTTGGACTGGAGTAGGGAGGGATGTGGGAGGTAAAACAGAGCATGTTTTGAATATATAGTATTTTGAAGGTAGAATCAACCAGAATTTTTGATGAATCATATAAATAAGAAGGAGGAAGAGGAGGAGGAGGAGGGGCAGGAGAAGGAGAAGGAGAAAAAGAAGGAGAGGAGGAGAAGGAGGTATTCATAAATTTATGGGCATCTTGTTTACATATCAATCTCCTATGAATTTGGATAATTCATAACAAGCTGATGTCTAAACCTTCCAAATTCTGAGTGCTGTAACAGTAACTGTTGGCTTTCTGGGCCTTCTAGGCTGCAGGCTAAGAACCTAGAAGATCCCACTGCTATGACCAGAGAGCAGAATGCGCCCCTCGGCTTGCATCTCTGCCTGCTTTCCTTTCAGTACGCTAATTGCATTTGGGGTTGATCCACTTAGGACAGGCACTTGACCTCAGCAGTGACACATCTGCATGTCTCAGTCACGCTGCAGGAACATCTCTTCCACACACTGCTCCTGAGGTGTTATTTGTGTGCATGTGTGTGTGTGTAAATTCAGTCCAATTGCCCAGTTATTCAACAGTCCTTTCTTCCCCGGGCACCTTCTAGGATAGTCATTGACCTCAATGCTGGAGACACAGAGTAGACTCAGAGAAACGGAAAAGCACAGTGTGAGCAGGGCAGACACAGCAGTGACACGGGGGTTGCGGTCCCTGAGGGCACCAGGCCAGGTTTGCTGGAGGAGGCAGTGTAGTGCAGAGCTGCCTCTCCTGCACATGCTGTGTGGCTGGGGTTTCTTCCCATGATTTGGGCCTCAATTAGTTGTCTTGGGAAATGAAGCTACTCTTTCCCTGATTCCAAGGAGCATTTCAGAAGCGTTTACGAGCATCGCGAAAACCCTCAGGCATCTCACGCCTGCTGTTTTGGACAAGTGGATCTCAGTCTTCGGGGAAGTGACTGCAGGTCTGTGCATGTTCTTTTGTCTCTGCTAGGAGGAATTATGGGGTGAGTAAAAGCCAAGCGAGGCAGGGAGGTGGGCCCAGGAGCCAGCAGTCAGAGCTTTATCTTCACAGCAAAGGATGGACTGAGGTCAATCAGGGAATGGGGCCACCAGCCTGTGCTTGGAAGAGCTGTGCCTCGTGGGAAGGTCCCCCGCAGCCAGTCAAAAAGACAGAGGGGCTCCCCGCACCTCGCTAAGCGTCTAACTCCCAAACACCTTTCCTGTTGGCCTCTGCTCCCCTGTAGTCCAGTCACTGCTGCCCTGCTCCGGCCTGAGACGATTCTTCCACCTCCAGTCTGGACTCCTGCCAGCCTCGTCATCCATCTCCACTCATCTGCCGACGTCCTCTTTCCAAGACGCTGGTCAGAACTTGTTCTTCCTGCTCACCACCTTCACGAGGTCCCGGCTACTTTCACCAAAGAACCAAGCCCCCTCGGCTCTCTTGATCCTGCCCTGCCTGCTGTCCAGCCTCACCTGCTCTGCCATCCCCTCACACTTTCCAGTTCCCCGAAATGCCACTGTCCCAGTCATCTGTCATATCTCTGAGGCCCTGGATATGCTGTTCTTCTTGACTGGAATTCTCTTCTCCCCGCTCCTGCCCATCTGCTAACTCTCAGTCATCCTTCAAAACTGTGCTTGGAGCCAACTGGAATGGCACATACCTGTAATCCTGGCACTCAGGACGTTGAGGTAGGAAGATTGCCACCTGTTCGAGGCCAACCTGGGTATATTGAGCTCAAAGCCAGCCTGAACTACATAGCAAGACTCCCCCTCAAAGAACGAAACAAAACAAAAACAATGCTCGGGTTTTACCTTTCTCCCGAAGACTTCTTGTCTCCCCTCCTTGTCAGGATCCATTCACTCCTTGCTCCACATCACCTCTGGGGTGTGCACTTGTGAGTGCGCTATTTGTATCACTGGTTGGGAAACTGAGCCTCAGAAAGGGTAACCAGGATTTCAAGTTAAATTATGGACTCAAATCCAAATAATTCTGATTCCTAGGCAAGTGCCTTATTTACTGTACTCTCAAAGAATTAACCAAATTCCACACACTTACACACTTACATACACACATAGGAAAGCTATATTTTTAAAGGCTGAACTGATATCCTTGAACATCTATCTTTAAATAATCAACCCTTTCCACAATTCCCTACTATTCCTGAGACTTTCCAGAGAGGAGGTTTTCAATAAGGTGACCTCCAAGATCCTCTGGGCTGTGATATTTTATGAAATACAGAAAATCTCCCTCTCACAATTAATGCTGGCCTTCAGGGTTTGTTTTCAGGATGAAAGGATGCTTGTGCATGACAAGCACTTATGGTACATCTAGTCTGTACTAAGAACATCAGAATCAGGACAATTTTACAAGATCCATATCATCCTCATTTCATAGAGGATGGTGAAACACAGATATGACGAGCTAGGGTCACCCAGCTAGGAATAATAGAGGGATTTGAACCAAGGTCCTTCTGGCTCTCAGTGGACTTCTAAGCGAAAAAAATAAGCCTGACCACTGGAGCAGGTGGCTGGGGAGGAGAGGGCAGCCTAATCACCCGTCCCTCATCCTTGGCTTCAGGACTGCTTACCCCCATCCTCGAACTCTTCACGCAGGTAGACCCGGCGCTGCACCTGAGCCCCCAAGGTGTAGGTCGCCAGAAGCAGTAGCAGCAACTGCAGCTGGTTCATGACATCCAGACGCTCAGCCCAGGCAAGCTGCTCACGCTGGCCAGGGGCTCCGCACTGCCCCTTTGCTGCCTTTACTCTGATCCTGGTGCAGGAGCTGAGATCACCTGCACCCCCACCTGGCTGCCTCCCATTCGTGGCCTGAGTACGGACTGCAGCCAATAATTGGGGACCACGCACTGAGAGTGCCCAAGGAGCTAATGTAGTTGAGGGAGCAATAGCGCAGCGTCCCTAGGGAGTGGGGAAATTGGCAGGGCCAGCTGAGGCTGGCCCCTGGGGTCCTGTGTACCAGTTCAATTTCAGTGCAAGTGGTTTCAAAGCACTCTCACAGGATTCCTTCTAACATCCCTCTGTCCTTCTGTCCTTCCTCTCATCCATCCAACTGTGCCTATGAAAAAACAGTGACAACATTGTGATGTCTGTTTATTTTAACAGAAATACCTAAGGTCTCAGAGGGCCCAGAAGAAGCCCTAATCTGGGATAGGATCTCAAAGATGGCTTCTGGAGAGAGGAGATCCTGAGGATAGCCAGGCAGAAGAAAGGAGGGGAGCGAGAAAGAGAAGCAAAGGGAATACTATGTGCGGAGGCCAGAGAAGGGAAGGATTTGTAAGTTAATATCCTTTTTATGGCAATTCATACTGTACGATCATTGTTTTTTCCTGTTGTGAGAGAAAGAAGGGTCAAAGAGGGGCGAAAGCACCAGCATTTGTTGGCCATTGTGATGTATGTCAAGCACAGCACCAGACACTTCGCATGCAGTGTGTCATTTAATCTTCACACCGGTGTGCAAAGAGGGAGCTGTTATACTCACCATACAGGTGAGCATAATGGGCCTCAGAAGGACAAGTGATGCGCCAAGGTCATACCAAGTTGGAACAGGGGCTGGAATTCTGGGTTTCTCATTCCAGGACCTTCACTACGCTTCCATTTCACTTTGTTAAGGCTGTGTCTAGATGTCCCTCCAAAGCCTCATGCGGTCACGGATGGGGCTCGTCAGAAATGGCTGGATCTAGGGTATGCGATGCTGGGACTGGGTGATGCTGGCATTAGGGAGTCCCTATGCTAGGGGTGGGTGGCACCGCCAAGAGGCGGGTAGACAAGATGGAATGTAAAGGCAGGCTTGCTTGCTGCTGCTGTTGCCGCTGCTGCTCCTTTGCTGCTGGCTGCCTTCTGCCTGCCCTGCTTTGCCATGAACTGTTTTTCCTCTGTGATGCCCCCTCTGCCATGCCACTCTGCCTTGGAGCCAGCTGACTATGGACTGAAACCTCTACAAACTGTGAACTGAAATAAACCTTTCCTCCTTTTAATTTGGGTGTTGGGTATTTTGTCCCAGGAACAAGAGAAAAGTAACTAAGACAAACTTCAGTCATCTATGCTATGTCTACTTACTGAGATCCTACTGTGTGCCAGGCACTGGGCTGGATACTGAAGAACAAGCCTGATGAGTCTTCTGTTCCCACAGGGCTCACTTTCTAATCATAAAGGAGAGAAGTATCAGATAATGGCACGCCCACTACAAAAAAGGGGGCTGGGGATTTAGCCCAAACATTTAATCGCTATGTTGAGATTTTGTAATTATCTGATAGAGAGAGGACATAAGTTTCCTGGGAAGATGCAAGATGTAGAGACCAAGATAGAGGGAGATAAACTGAAAGCACGGAGCCAACCTTGAGTGCCGGCTGGAAGACTTTGGATTTGGTCCCCCTATGCCAGTTTTTCAATCGCTGCCCTATTGTTATTTTAGGCAGATCAGTCTTCCTTGTAGGGAGCCCTGGGAGAGCTGTCCTCTGCATATAGATGTTTAGCAGCATCCTTGGCTTTTATCAAGGGATGCCAATAGCACTCTCTCCAACAGGTATGGTAGCTAAAATGTCTCCAGACCCTGCCAAATGTCCCCTGGTGTGTGTGTGTGTGTGTGTGTGTGTGTGTGTGTGCACAAAATTGGACCACAAATGAGAGCTGTAGGAAATAGTGGGGCTCAGGGTTTGAAAAGAATGTTGCATGATAAGTATTAGTAATGCTCTTAACTTTAATAACCACTCTCATAGTGAACATTTAGACTTTGTAAGAAACTGAATTATATTTCAGTTCTGATAAGCTGGACTCACCCATCCTACTTTGGTAACATTCCCATGGGCTCCATTGTTTTCTCTGAAATGATAAAACGTTGACCATCTGCTTCTCAAGGGCAGTGGCCACTGTGCTTTCTTTGTTTTCGTATCTTCATTTTCTTACACAGTGAATGTTAAATGGATTGGGTGAATTTTAAAATTGTGTTATATACATAATTACATTTATTTTTAGGCGATCATGCTGGATCAGAGATTTGTCGGAGAATAAATGACAAGTGTGTTTGTAAGCAAAGATGTCTGTTTTAGTCTTTTAATCCAAAATGCTTATAAATCAATAGAATGTGTGAACTTCATTTTCAGGTGTATTTTCCATCTGGGAAAAATTCATGTGACTCTGGCAGCATCCGCAGTTGTCTCTAATTCATAAGGATATAACTTTAATTGTTTACTTGTCTTTATGCTGCTATAACAATACGTCTATGTTGAGTTAAAAAATATTTTTTTGAAACAGGGTTTTGCTAGGTAGTTCCAACCAGCCTTGAATTTACTAAGGAAGTCTGGGCTAGACTTGAACTCATAGAGTTCTAGAGGCTGTTAACTTCAAGACCATCATCGCACTAGCAGATTTGGTGTCTGATGAGAGCAAGATGATGCCTTCTTGCTTCAACCTCACATGGTGGAAAGAGGCAAAGATGGATGAATGCTAGCTCAATTTTCCGGTTTTAAAACAAATCAAAATTAAAATATTTTCATGGGCCCCATGCCTAATGTGTAAATCAGGTGCCTATTATACCTAACATGTAAGTCATTTCGGGGGTCATTTCCTAGTTCTCATTTCTCTCTTTAAAATTTTTGTTTTGAACAACTGTTATAAGAATGACTTCAAGCAACCAAAGCTGCATGATGGAAGAAACCAAGTGTGAGACCTGAATGAGCTAAAGTGACTCCATGCTAATAGGCCAGAGACTGTGCTTCTTCATGACAAAAGGTGACCATAGAACATTTCCTGCTTGAGATAAGCAGTATGTTTGGAATCTTGTCCTCTGGTAGTTCTGTGAATGCCCTGACCTATGTTTGAACTTTTTTGTTTAGAAAAACCCTATAAAACTACCTCAGCCCCTGAGCAGTTGCCTCTCTGAGCTACTTGGCTCTGGGAGTGCCGTCTGGCCAGACTAATAAGGGTCTGTTTACCATCTAGTCCGGTGTGTCCCTTTCTGGGTGACGCTCGTTCCTCCGTCGAGCTCCTGGAGGGAGCTCCTGAAGCCTCGCTGAGCTATAGGTCCCAGCATCATGGAGGCCCTTTTGGCTGCTCACAGCTCCCAGAAGTAAGGCCCTGGGTCTTGCGTCTGGACCCCTCGTTGGGCTATAGGACTCAGCATCGTGGAGGCCTTTTGGCTGTTCACGCTCCGCAGAGTGGAAGTGAGACTTTAGGTCTTACACCAAGTCTGATTTGTTTTCCACTGCATCTCTGGTAACCTTGCCACAGAATAAACACGCGACAGGATGAATGTGCAGTTCACTGCAGAGCACCAGGATACAGTGCACACTTGATAAATATCAGATTTATTTCACCTGATTTCCTAGGGAATAGTTCAGGATGTGCCTAACAGGTATTAGAAAGTCAGAGTACAAGGCACTAACCCTGAACGTAACAGGAATTCAGCTCAGGAAGGACTGTGCAGGTCAATCACTTTGCATGCTTTTGCATTTTTTATTTGTCCAGTTCATCCAAGCTACTTTATTGCACCAGTAAAATGATCTATCTTTAGCTTATGGATAAGAAAGGGGACTTTCCAAAACCATCCATTTTACACTTCGATATGGTGTATTTACACATGTAGGGAGTTATACCAGTATTGCCACATGTCTCTGAATCCTCTACAGATTTA